AGATTTTTCTAGGCTTGTCTATATGCCCTTCCTCACTGTAGACTGTAAAACTGTTGGCTTAAGTGAGATTCCGTTCTCCTTTATGCTTCTAATTTTTCTAAATAGTGAGGATAAAAACAACTTAAATTTTCAACCAGAATGTAAATTTGAGGGCAGAAGTCTTCTTGTTATATTCATTTTTTTATGTCTTTATTCCTTCCCTGCATCCTCTAATATCTTGTAAAATTTTGGATAGATGTCATGCATGTTAAATGAATGTTTGTTGCATAAAATCTGTAATGTGCAAGCACGGAAGAGCACCTGTTTCCCTTCAATGAGCGCGTTCTTAGGTGGAGCAAGCTGGGGTGAGAGTGGCGGAAGGACTGTGCTAGCTCCTCTGGGTAACAACTCTCCAGAACCGTGATCACAACTCCTTTCCTTCCTTCTACTTATATTGCCTTCTTTTTTCTTCTTCCTTCTTTTCTCCTAATGAAAAAGGCTGGGCTCTGAATTAATGGAAGTGAAAATGAGAACCATTTCAATTTATCTTTTCTCATTTCAAGTCCTGGCCGAAGAGTTTACAGATGTGATAACCTGTGCTGGGCTAGATTTTTCTAGGCCTCTCTGGCCCCAGTCCACGTTCCTCAGCTACCCTAGAATTCAGCTAGCCATCAGTGACCATGCTTTGTTTCTAGAATTCAGATCCTAAGCTTAGTAGTATTCATTTGCTATATTGTCTTTTTCCCCTAGGTGCAGGAGTAGCCCTGCTGAATGACCATATTTATGTGGTGGGGGGATTTGATGGTACAGCCCACCTTTCTTCCGTTGAAGCATACAACATTCGCACCGATTCCTGGACAACTGTCACTAGTATGACCACCCCACGATGCTATGTAGGGGCCACAGTGCTCCGGGGGAGACTCTATGCAATTGCAGGGTGAGGATTTGGAAACCAGGCTAGTTAGAGTCATCCAGGGCAGTGTGATCCAGTCTGTATTTTTGATGGAGATGGGGTTTGGTCGGTGGAGACATGTCCAATGGCAGCCTTAATGTAGGTCTTGTATGGAAAGGACTAGAAAGCTCATTTTCGTCTTTTGCTTCTTCTCCACTCAGATATGATGGGAATTCTCTGCTGAGTAGCATTGAGTGCTATGACCCTATCATTGACAGCTGGGAAGTCGTGACATCCATGGGAACCCAGCGCTGTGATGCTGGCGTGTGTGTTCTCCGAGAGAAGTGACCATTGCTCAAACACCATCCAGAGCTAGCGACCAGTCCAAGGGGCAATTTGCGAGAGAATCAAGGATCCTTTCCAGAATGTCTATTTCTCACTGTGTGCACAGGGAGATTACAGGCACCGGTGCAGTTATGATTGTACTTTTTTGACACACATTCCCCCTCGCGCTAGTAGTTGTCCCCAAGGAGGGTGGGTAACAGATGCTCAAGGAAAGAAAAAAACATGCTGACTGGATGTCAGAGATGAGACCATCACTCCTTCTCATCTAGCGAGCACTTATTTGTCGTTTCTAACTTACCATGTGCTTGGGAGAGTATGTATACACACATATATATTCGTTGTGCCTCACAATGCAGAGAATTAAGGTGAGTATGGCCTATTCATGTGGGCAGTGTTCAGCCTAGATGTTTAGAAAGATACCAACTTGAGTCGGCTTGGTGAAGCCCAAGCCATCTGTTTTTCAGGAATAAATATCTTTCTAAGTCTACAGGTAGCTAGGGGCAACACAGCTCCACTCTGGAGGGAGACAAAGAGCCCTGTCAAACCTTTGGGGGCCGAGGAAGAGATCTGTCTGACACTCCTTTGGGGGGATGGATTTGCATATCAGAACGAAAGTTGAATAAGTAAAGTAAATTGAATTTGATGGAATGTGACTGAACCTAGAATACCACTGAGGTGTAACCTGCAAGACTGAGAAGAGTGTGTTATTTGAAGATCCTTATTTCCCCATGGTCTTTCTGAAGCAGAACGTGCATCTTGGCACTGGAGACTGTGAGAGAATAACAGAGTGAACAGACCTTGGAATGAGTGGAGATGGAATAAATGTGCAGTTCAGGATGCCTGGGGACAAACTAGAAGTACCTGTGATTTTGCAATCGTCTTATTCCTGGCCAAGGTTCATCCTTCCATGGCAAGGTTTACCTTGAGTGGGTGAAAGACTGTCTTTTTTTTGTTCAATCAAATACTACTACACTTTTAGATGACCACACTATTTATTTGGGGATGGGGTAGGGTGGTGGCAGTCTGGGAGCTCAGTTACCTGATTACTGCCTAATTCTTTCAAGGACACACTCTGCTAAGGAGTGGTTTTTACTGCTGTGTTAGGTACCTTTAGGCTTTTTCCTACTATAAGGTTCCCATACCTGTCCTTAGAGTGGATTTTATATTCATCCTAGGGCAGCATAATTAAGGATAACCAAAATTCTTTTGTTATTACAAGTAACTCCTGTCACCGAGGTATTTTTGAGCTCTACCAATCAAGGCTCCTCTGTGTTAGGGAGTAAAATTCTTACTTTTTGAGTATGGGGAGTGTGGGAATGGGATAATCCAGACAAGGATATTCTTTTCCTTTGCTCTGAAATTCCATTTTTCTTGAGTTGTATTGATCTAAAGAGTTCATTTACTTTGTATTTTTTTAAGAAAATATTAAAAATCAACTGTCTCAAATGCCTATAGGAGTGTTTGTGGCTAACCAGCACTGCCTTCAGCAGATATTCTGGGAAACCAGGCACGGAAATCAGCTTAGGTCCTGTCTCTTCAACCCCGTGTGTTTGCAAAGTAACTGCTGTTTCTTATACTCAGGTAAGAGGTAGCTACTTTGCCGTGGCGAAGATTCCCATCAGTAAAATTTTATCCAGACTTGCCTTGTCATTGGCCCCACACACGTGCACTTGGAGTTTACCTGAAAACCAAAGAGAATAAGGGTACTGTTGACCTTAGTACCCACTTGAATTTTATTTTATTTTTATTATTTTAAAAGATTTATTTATTTATTTATACAAGCACTGGGTACAGTCAGAAGCACGGGAGGGTGAGAGAATTCACCAGAGCCAGAGCAGGGAACAGAACAGGTACACTGACGAAATATACTGCTGAGGGGAGCAGCGGGCACAGCAGGAGAGGTCTGCGCGCCATGTGGGAGCCTCACTGGTGGCCGGGGATCAAACCAGCGCTGCAGAGGCTGCGGGCAGCTTCGCAGCCTATTGCTCAACCGCTGTGCCACCAGGGGAGGCCCACCCACTTGAATTTTAGAGTTTCAGTCACGCCAGGCCTTTTTCTATTTGCTTTGATTTATGGCCTGTGATATCAACAGCTATGCAGAAGTCCTGCAAAACTGCAAAAATTCCCAGAGCAAAGGAAAGCAAGAGACACACGAGGAAGTCATTTGTACTTAAAAAGACTGCCAGCCTCTCTTTAATATATGGATGTGCCTTCTTATTAAACCACAGCTCTGAAAACTATGGCTCATTCTGTCTCAGGAGAGATCTGGGGGAGGTTGAATGGGAGGGCAGAGGTGGGATAAAGAACTGATGGCTCCCCAACTATCTTCAGTGCTAACTACCAGAGTTTCAGACTGAATTCCCAAATGTTCTTATGTTCTTAATTATTTTAAGCCTCTGAAAGCTATTTGACTTGTGCCACCCGCATCACAGTTAGTTTCTAGTTCAGATCAATTTTATCTTTCATTGTTCCATGTCCATTCCATTATCTTTATTCCTTCTACTACCACTTAGGTTAGGCCTTAATCCCTTGCCCAATTTGGAGTAATAGTCTCCTGATAATCTTATCTCTATTTTCCTGTCTTCCAATCCAGCCTCTGCCTTTTGCATGTTAGTTTTCTAAAGCACAGATAGGATTGTTACAATACCCAACCTACAATAAATTTTCAATACTGAACACTTAGTTTTGGCCCCAAATCCCATAGGTTCCCATTGCCCACATTATGAAGTTCAAATTCCTTAGCATGACAACACACCATGGTAATGTGGGCCCATTCTACATTTCTGATAATACCTTCCTCACTTCTGTCTGAAATAATCTGGCTTTCCTGACAAAATCCTACTCACCCTTTAATACCTAAATCAAATGTCACCCAGGTAAATGGCACCCAACTTTCTAGAGAGATTCGCTTTCTAATCCAGGCCTCCATTTACTTTGCCCCATGATTGTCCTTATTACGGGTCACTGTGTGGGTCTTCCTGTTTAGATTAAGTTCTCAAATACCAAATTTCTATAGTACCCTCCAGGTTTAGCATATAATCACTAATATAGTTAATGTTTAATTAATGGATATAAGGAAAAGATAGGATGGTGGGTAGATTAGACTAATGAAGTGGCTTAATTCCCCTTCATATTCTGCTTCCCCTGCCCATTTCAGGAAATCCATGATGTTGCACTATAAGCTGGAACTCTAAAGACTAATCAGATGGAATGAGAACTTTCAGTGTAATGAGGAAATCAGTGGTGATAGAGCCTTGCATGAATGATGCCTGGAAAGCAGCCTTTCCTCTGTTTTCCCCATTTTGCAAGGGAGTACTGAATGTGACAACCGCTAAGGAAACTGATGATTCAATTAGTTTCTAAAGCACTCCAACACAGTATTTTGCCACACAGTAAATACTATGATTAGAACTGAGCCCCAAAATTGAAGCTTCCAGGAATTTTTTTCCAACACCAAAAAAAAAAAAAAAAAAAAAAGGTACTGTTCCTCTAAGTAGTCTCCCACAGAACAATCCAATGTAGTTAAAACTTGCTGATGGAGAGTCCAACGGAGATTGCCCCCATATTGCCCCGGGTAAGTCCCCATTCATGAGAAATTCAAATCTCACACTAAAGAGTTAAGATCATCTTTAATGACTAACTTGTTCAAGTGTTACTCCTTAAGCCCAGTGACCAGGTTAGTCTGGAGAGGATTTGTCACGTCCTAGGAAGTGACCCTGTCACAAAGCCGCGCTGACACCGAGCCTCTCAGGTTAGGCAATGAATGAGCGCGCTTGCGCAGTAGAGTCCGGAGCCGAGGAAGCGGGCGCCTGCGCAGAAGGGAGTGGCGGTCCGCTCCCCGCCCTGCGAGCCGCGCCAGCGCAGTCGAGAAGACCGAGCGGCGACAGCGCCTGCGCGGTGGTGGCCGAGGCGGCTGGGGCTGTAGCGGCGATGGAACCGTCGGAGCAGCTGAACGAGTTAGTGTCAGCCGAGGGCCGAAACCGGAAGGCGGTGCTGTGCCAGCGCTGCGGCTCGCGGGTGCTGCAGCCGGGGACCGCGCTCTTCTCCCGCCGGCAGGTAGGGAGCAGGTCGGCGCGGGGTCCACCTGCGCGCTCCCCGCGGCGGCCGAGGCGGCGGAGTCGGGGGAGACCTCGCCCCGCGCCCCGCGGCTCCGGCGAGGCCCCGCCCCCAGGCCGCCCGCGGGGCCCGCCGGGTCCGGGTCGCCGCGCCCAGCCCCGCCCGGCCCCCCAGCCCGGGGAGGCTGCTGCCCCGCGCGCCAGGGGAGGGGAACCCGAGCCCGCGCGCTGGCCAGGGCCGCTGCCCGCGCCCCCCACCCGCAAGTCGGCCTTTCGCTCCCCGCGGCTGAGTTGCGGGGTGGCGCTTGGGCGAACTTGCTTCTTGGCCCGCCACGCCCGCGCCCACCTTCTCTTTTCCGAGCGCCTCTCGGTTCCAGGAGCAACGGGGTGGGACAAAAAGAACTCCTGTAACCAGGCTTACCAACCGACGGAACCCAGTTTACAATGAATCATATTTCCAGTGAGCTGAATACCCCAAGTCCTGAAAATCAAGCAAGACTTGATTTTATTTTCTCCAAGTTAGGCATTTTTATACCCTTCATACCGCCGTCACCGCAAGTGAGAAAGTTGGGGAATTTTATTTCTATGTGATTTGCCCACAGAAAATGCAACGTGTAATCTCATCCAACCATGCAGTGCCCTAGTGCTCAAAATTACTTCTAAAAGTATGCCCTGCCCTCAGGGGAGCTAGGTTTCAACATGAGAATGGGAACAAACGTTCAGGCTACAGCGGGGTGCTGCTGGCATCTAGTGGGTAGAAGCCAGGGGTGTTCTGAGCATCCTCCAGTCATCTATAGTCTTCCCCCTTCCGACTCCCCAGCCAAAGAATTCTCCAGCGCAGCATGTCAGCAGTGCCTGGATTGAGAGTCTGTAGCCTAAAAAGAGCACTCTCATCTGTAATCTCTTGGCCCTGTGAAATTATTTTGCATTTCTTCATACCAGGAGACCGTGGCATCCTGTGATGTATCCACTTCTGTATCTCCTACCCCTGGACTGTGCACAGAGTTAGAACTTAGTAAATGTTTGGGCTTAAATCAATTAACAAGCAAAAACGCCCAATGTAAAGGCGGTTTGCATGGGTGTTTGCTTGGCACCATGACTCCACTATTTGAGCAGCTTGTGTTTGTGTTCTTTTTTGGTCATAGAAATGATTTTACATATAAAATGTTCATATCCTTGAACTTGTCACTTCTCAAAGTCTTACTTAAAGACTTTGACTTTGTGGCAGAAGAAATTAGGATTAAGCTCGGTAGAGGCAGGGTGAATTGTTCTGTATTTGTGAAAGAAAGTGTGTGTGTGTGTGTGTGTGTGTGTGTGTTTTCCAATTGAAATAACATTGGTGTATAACATTATATAGGATCCAGGCATACATCCTTATAAATCAACATCCAGTTTCTATCCATCACCATACATTTGACCTGCTTTACCTGATTTACTCACCCCTCCCCCTTCACTTCTGGTAACCACAGTTGTGTTCCTATAGTCTCAAAGGTTGTTTTTGTTTTATTTTGTTCATTTGAGGAATGAAAATGTTCCTTTTGGTCAGAATATGAAATGTAGTAAAAGTGAGAAGAAATGAGGCCAGGTGGAATTAACGGTGGGTGATTGGAATAGAGGAGGTGAGGGGCTTATAGGGATGTCCTGCCCCCTTGGGAGTAGAAACTCATGACTAGAAGTGAGACGTTGGGTCAAAAGGGAGACTAAGCCAGGTGCCACCAGCTGTCAATGGGCAGTGATTAGAGTCATCTCAGATGGCGGTGAGGGGTCCCCTGATGTCAGGAAACTTAAAGGAGCTCTGGTGTTGACTTAAGGATGGAGCAGTATTATAATTCAGGAGCAAGGATGCTGGTTCCCATCTTCATATCCTGAAGCATGTGGAATGTCCCAGAACGTTTTGAGGAGCCTGTGGTGGTGGCCTCAGCAAGAGCCTTATTTCCATGATGACAAAGAGAAAAAGGAAACATTCACCAAAGAGTTTGAGAATGTAGGAAAAGGGAGATGCTGATATAGAAGCTGTTGTCGCTGCAGTAGGGTGAAGGAGGGTTGTCTCCTGAGAGAAAGCTTAGAACAGTGTTTGCATGAGTAAGGAGTGAGGGCAAGGACCTGAGGGCAATAACTAGCAGTTTCTTTTCAAACTAAACTGTGCGTAGCATACCACCTAGCAAGTATACCCTGGGACCTTTATCCCAGAGAAATGAAAACTTATGTTCGCTCAGAAACCTGTACACAAATGTCCATCCACCTTTATAGCCCAAAACTAGAGACATCCCAGCTGCCTTCAACAGGTGATAGGTTATACAAACCGTGGTGTGGCCGTACCATGGGGCCAAGTGTGATACCACAGCTCAGATAAACTGCCAGGGAGTTGTGCTGGATGAAAAAAAGCCAGTTCTAAAAGCTTATGTAGCTGTGATCCCATTTATATAACAGTTTTGAAATAACAAAATTTAAGAAAGGGGGAACATATTAGTGATTGTCATCACTAATGGGTTAGAAATTGGGGGATTGGCTATATAAGATTGGCTACAGAAGGACAAGAGATCCTTGTGAAATAGAGGTCTTCAGTGTCTTCACAGGTATATAAGCCTGGGATAAAATTGATAAAACTATATAAAACTGCACACAGACAAATGAGTTAAAGTAAGTGGGAAATCTGAACAAAATCACTGGATTATATCCATGTCAGTATACTGGATGTGATGTGCTGCAGGTTTTTTTGTTTTTTGTTTTTCAAAGATTTATCCATCAGCGCATACAAGAGCTGGGGCACAGGCCAGAGGTGTGGGGGGTGGGGGCGGCAAGAGGATTCACCAGAGACAGAGTGGGGAACAGAACAGGCAGACTGACTAAAATACCCTGTTCAGGGGAGCAGCAGGCGAGGCAGAAGAGGTCTGCTGCGCCATGTGGGTTGCTCCCTGGCCAGGAATAAAACTCCTCATGCTGCAGAGGCTGCGGATTGCTTCATAGTGCGGTGCCCAACCCCCTGCGCCACCAGGGAGGCCTGTACTGCAGTTTTATAAAAGGTTACCTTTGAGGGGGGCTCCCCGGTGGTGCTGCAGTTGAGCGCTGGGTTGCGAAGCTGCCCGCAGCCTCTGCAGCCCCGGTTTGATCCCCGGCCACCGGGTGAGAGTCCCACATGGCGCACAGACCTCTCCTGCCGCCCGCTGCTCCCCTCAGCACTGTATTTCGTCACTCTGCCTGCTCTGTTCTCCCCTCTGGCTCTGGTGAATTCTCTCACCCTCCCGCGCTTCTGACTGTACCCAGTGCTTGTATAAATAAATAAATAATCTTTATAAATAAATAAATAAATAAATAAAATAAAAGGTTACCATTGAGGGGAACTGAGGATTCATGTTATTTCTTAGTATAGAAATAATCATTGTACATCTGTATCTTTGTTTTTTTTTTTTTTTTGGTTTGTTTTTGCATGAGAATCTACAATAATCTCAGATTTTCCATTTAAAAAATTCAGGTCATCATGCTAAGTGAAATAAGCCAGTAACAAAAAGACAATCACTGTATAATTCCATTTACACGACACACCTAGAGTAGTCAGACTCACAGAGGCAGAAAGTAGAATGGCGCTTGCCGGAGATCAGGGAAGGGGGCCGTAGGGTTTAGTGTTTAAGGGGAGCTAAGACAGCTCTGGAGAGGAATGTGGTGATGCACAACACCGGAATGCCCTTCCACCCACTGAATTGTACCCTGAAAAGTTATTTAATTTTTAAAAATCATTTAATTTTAAAAATTATTTAACGATATGTCTCACAATAAAAAAAGTCGGGAACCAAGTGGAACATGTGCTTCAGCTTTGTTCGGCAGTGTTGATCTAGTTATCTTTTGCAGCATAAGAAAATCACCCCAAAATAGAGACTTAAAGCATTAACATTAACAATTATTCTTTTTTAAAAAAAATATATTTATGCACACAAGAACTGGGGTACAGGCTAGACGTGCGGGGGGTGAGAGGATCCACCAGAGACAGAGCGGGGAACAGAACAGGCAGACTGACTGAAATACACTGCTGAGGGGAGCAGCGGGGAGTCAGGAGAGGTCTGCTGCGCCATGTGGGTTGCTCCCTGGTTGGGGATCAAACTCGTGCTGCAGAGGCTGCGGATAGTTTCATAGGTTGTGTCTTGCGCCACCAGGGAAGCCCTAAAACATTAACAATTATTCTGTTGACAAACTTGGGGTCTCTCATGTGATAGCCGTCAGAAGGGTCATCTCAAAAGCCATTTCATGCACCTGTCTGCCTGCGGACTGGGAGAGTTCAAACCCCTGAGCACCGGACCTCTCAATGGGCCTCTCCACCTGATGTCCCTGTGTGGTGGCCTCAGAGTAGCTGAAAGAACCCAGATTAAGTGTTCCACGAGCAACCAGCAAAAGTACACGACCTTTCCTGGCCTCACTCCTCAACTTCCATGCACCAGTCACAGTGCCTTGCCCAGGGTCAAGAGGACAGGCCGGGCCCTGGCACTCGGTGAAAGATTGTCAGAGAGTGAATGGATATGTCTTAAAACCACCACAAGTGCTTACAGAAGAGGGAAAATATCCCAGGAGGATTAACAGGAGTTTCCTCTGTACTGTAGCAGTTTTTGTTTTCACCTCTAATTGTAGCATGCTTGCCAAGCTTCCTGTAATAGAAATATATTGTTACAGGGCCTCTCTGGTGGTGCAGGGGGTTAAGCACTGACTATGAAGCAGTCCACAGACTCTGCAGCACGAGTTCGATCCCCGGCCGGCCAGGGAGAACACATGGCAAAGCAGACCTCTCCTGTCTTGTCTGCTGCTCCCCTCAACAGTGTATTTCAGTCAGTCTGCCTTTTCTGTTCCCTGCTCTGTCTCTGGTGGATCCTATCACCCCCCACATCTCTGGCCTGTACCCCAGCTCTTGTATGCATAAATAAATAAATCCTTAAAATATATATATATAAATATTTACAAAGTGAAAAGAAATATTTCATTTTCAAAGGGCGCCATTAACAGTTTTTGAAAAGGCAAAATGTGTCCTGAGACATCAGCATCTGTTGGATTGTGTTCCTGTCACTGAGGGAGCTGGCCAGGGCCAGGGATGGCTGGGGTCCTGACAACAAAGTGAACCCACCTGGTGAGGGATCTAAGTGGCAACTCTGGTCCCTAAAATTAGGTATTAACTTCTTGATTTCCACTCTGGTGGTCTCTCCAGAAAGCCTCAGAGTATTCCACGTTTCATCCTGTAGTCTTACATGGCAGTTGTCCTCTGCAGTGCAACGTCTAGGTGAGGTACCTGTGCATGCACATCCCTGTGCTTCTGTACAGATTGCTTCCTGGGGGACAATGGAAATGTTGAGCAATATGGCCCCAAGTGATTCCTTGAATGAGCAGTTAATCATACCATTTCCTCCCTAATCAAACAAGAGACGTCAGAAGTGGCGTTTTGCACTATAAGTGGGAACAGTGTGTGGGGTGCCAGTGCTCCTTTGTTAGACATCTCTCCAGAGCTGTTGCTTAAGTGCTCTTTGATTTTCCCTCTGCATATTTAGTTAAGATGTGACTTCATACCGCCAGTGTAGAGGATGGGCCAAGAATAGTTTTCGGGAAATTTAAGCCCACAGAAAGTTGCAGTTAGAATTGGAATCCAGTTTCCTGATTCCTGATTTTTTTAAAAAAAAAGTTTTAATATTTATTTATTTATGCATACAAAGGCTGAGGTACAGGCCAGAGATGCGGGTGTCAGAGGATTCACCAGAGACAGGTGGGGAGCAGAACAGGCAGCTCTACTGAAATACACTGCTGAGGGGAGCAGCGGGCGAGACAGCAGTGGGCGAGACAGGAGAGGTCTGTTGCGCCATGCAGGTAGCTCCCTGGCCGGGGATCGAACTCTCACTGCAGAGGCTGCATATTGCTTTATAGTGCGGTGCTTAACCCCTTGCACCATCAGGAGGCCCTGATTCCTGATTTTGATTCATAACGTTCTTTACCACTACCTGTGCCCATTTTCACCTAGGGCAAAACAAAGCATTAGGGATATCAGATTAGACAAAAAGAGTGACTAGAATAATAGGAGGATGGACTATCACATTTTTGAGTCCTCAGATAACAGCTCAGGTGACACAGCAAAGGGCAGTGCGCAGATACCTGTTTTAATAAGCCAAGTACTTGGAGAATAAGAACTAGTAATGTTCTGGACCAGTGCTGCCTCCTTCCTGCCAGGGGCGGCCCTGCTGACAAGAGGATGGCCCAGATGGGATCTCCAGCATAGCAGCTCTATGGACCCCTAGCTGAAGTGCAGTGGGTGAGGCGCATTCTACTGAAATACACTGCTGAGGGGAGCAGCGGGCGAGCCAGGTGAGGACTGCTGCGCCATGTGGGTTGCTCCCAGGCCAGGGTTCGAACTCATGCTGCAGTGGCTGCAGATAGCCTCATAGGTTGCTTCTTAACCCCTGATGCCACCAGGGAGGCCCTTAAGTGTTCTTTTCATAAGATAAATCCAGTATATTCCTAACAGTGATGGCTTAGATCAAAGCCACATACCTTATTCTTTTGAGTTCCTGCTGTTAGTTACTGTTCTAGGCACTGGGGTGTGGTAATAAACAAGAGGTTAAAGCTCCCCGGTCCACAGGAGCTTGAATTTTAGTAGAAGGGACCATGTTAAATATGTAATCCAATATATTAATAAGGCAGTTTCATAGAATAAGTGTTAAGTAAAAAGATAAGGTGGGAGTAAGCATGAGGAAACTTTTGGAGTTGATGATATTCTTGTCTTTTTTTTTGAAGATTTATTTATGCATACAAGAAGTGGGTACAGGACCTCCCCGGTGGTGCAGCGGTTGAGCACTGGGTTTTGAAGCTGCCCGCAGCCTCTGCAGCACCGGTTCAATCCCCGGCTGCTCCCTGGCCACCGGAGGAGGGTCCCACGTGGCACGCAGACCTCTCCTGCTGCCCGCTGCTCCCCTCAGCAGTGTACTTCAGTCCTTCTGCCTGTTCTGCTCCCCGCTATGGCTCTGGTGAATTCTCTCACCCTCCCGCGCTTCTGACTGTACCCAGTGCTTGTATAAATAAATAAATAAATCTTAAAAAAAAAAAAGAAGTGGGTACAGGCCAGACGTGTGGGGGATGAGAGGATTCACTAGAGACAGAGTGGGGAGCAGAACAGGCAGACTGAAATACACTGCTGAGGGGAGCAGCAGGCAAGTCAGGACAGGTCTGCAGTGCCATGTGGGTCAGCTCCCTGGCCAAGGATTGAACTCATGCTGCAGTGGCTGTGGATAGCTTCATAGGTTGCATCTTAACCCCTAGCACCACCAGGGAGGCCAAGGATTGAACTCATGCTGCAGTGGCTGTGGATAGCTTCATAGGTTGCATCTTAACCCCTAGCACCACCAGGGAGGCCCGATCATCTTGTCTTGACAGTGGTAATGGTTGATTGGTGTGCACATCTGCCCAAATGTATCAAGTTGTATACTTTAAATGGGTGCAGTTTATGTGTCCATCATAATTGACAGCTGCTTTAAACAGTAAAAATATAATGGATGGTATGGGAAGTTAATCAGATTGTTCGGAGGGAAAACCTCCCGAAGAGCTGATGGTCAGTGTGCATTTGAGCTGAACATGAAGAAAGAGCTGCACAGACTTACCCTGTTTGAGGAAAGCAAGAAAGCCTATGGCTGCACCATGATGAGCTAGGGAGAGAGCGGGGCAGGGAGGGCTTTATGGACCACCGTAGGGAGAACAGTGGAGCCTAGTCACCAAAGATCCTCCCGTGTAGCCCTTAGGAATGAGGGCAGGGAACAGAAGCAACGGAGGAGCCACCCAGCACCCTAGTCTATAACTTAGTTAGGTCTCCTTTTGTGTTCATTCCGAGAAACCGCTAGGAAGCAGTACAGAGTTCCAGTAGAAAGGGGTGGTGACATGACTGGGCCGGTTCAGCTTCTGTATTCTTTATATTCTCTGCCCTTGCAGCTTTTCCTTCCCTCCATGAGAAAGAAGCCAGCTCTGGCTGACGGCAGCAATCCTGACGGCGACCTCCTCCAGGAACACTGGCTGGTTGATGACATGTTCATCTTTGAGAACGTGGGCTTCACCAAGGACGTGGGCAACATCAAGTTCCTGGTCTGCGCAGACTGTGAAATCGGACCGATTGGCTGGCACTGCCTAGATGACAAGAACAGTTTCTATGTGGCCTTGGAACGGGTTTCCCATGAGTAACTGAGGGGAGGGGGACTCACTCCACCCCTGCCCCAATTATAAAAGCTATTCCCCACAAGGACTGGCATTTAACCTGGTCTAACTGTTCCACTGCTGCCTTTTCTGTACTGAAATAAGGGATGTGACCAGCGTGTCCAGGTAATTTCGGAGGGCTGGTCCCGCTTCCCTACAGCCGCGTGCATGCCTCCTGCTAGCCCCGTCCCACTGCAGCATCTCCTCATCTCCCTTCTCCCCCCAGTTCAGGACACTGGAGCACTTCTACAAATCTGCTCTCATCCCTGGATTCTGCCTGGGTTCTATTTTACCCAGAGGCTCCCTGTGTCTTACTCTGGAAGAGCAGCGGTCAGCCTTCAGTTCAAATTTCAACAGCACATGTCAAATGATGCTCATGTGCTGAGAGCTGAGACTCCACGTGTATCTCTCATTGAGGAAAGCGTGCAAGTGTCTGAGGGAGACTTTGTTGTATGGCTAAACTTTAAGTAGTTACTTATTTTTAAAAGTAAAGCATTTACAAATTTCAGCATTTAAACTACTCATCAGAAGCACATTAATTTGGACACACTTGTGGTACCATGCTTGAGAGCCCTGCTCTAAATTGATAGTGACTCTTCATTGTGAATTTGAATTTGGTCCCTCTTCCCTTTAAATCTTGATGTGGATTCTCTTTATATTGCATTCTCACTGGCTGCTCTAAGGAAAACTCAGCCCTGAATTCCCCAGGATCTCTTGGAGTCAGAGTGGAGGATGTGGAATATAGGCGGGCTAGGCCTTTGACATATTATATATGAGTTTATAGGCTTGTCTTACCTGGTGGGTGACCCTCCCTTCATACTTCGGAAGGACTTCTTTAACAAAGTGTCATTTGCTGAACCTCCAGACACAGTCCTCACAGAGTTGGTTCAGTTGTAATCTCTCTAACAACCCAGAATACAAATTCCCCATCTAAATGCCTGTATTTCTGTAACTGTGGGGATACTCTAGCAATCACATGTTAGCAGACTTGTTTAACCTCCAATCTGATCTTCAGTTCTGTCATTTCTCATCCTCTGAAGAGTCTGTATAGCCAGGTTTCAGGTATCCTCCCATCATCCCTACTTCTAAGATTCAGAAACCTCAAATTAAAATAAGGACTCACTAGAGACCTGACCATCTGCAGTCCATTCCTTTGCTTCTGTTGTCTGGTTGCTTCCTCCTTCCTTCTCCCCAAAACTTATTCTAAGGGCTTCTCAAATAAAGCACAGGCCTTGGGCAACTAACCTGCTTCCCTAGAAAGGTGGCTTATGTCCTATTTGGAGCCTGAATGAGCCCTTGTAGAAAATGAGATAACTATTTTCCAGACAGATGGTCAAATGTAACCATGGTTGTGCTGTGAGAATTACCCACCTGGGTCAGAAGGAACAAAACCAAATAGATGCCTCTTGGGGCATGTGTCCCCTCACGTCACAAGCCAAAACCTAGACAAAGCATTTTTTTTTTAAACTAGACTTTGACTTGTTCCTTTTTTAAGCACAGAAATAGTACACATTCATTGTAGGTAAGTTTAAAACTGAGTATAAAGTTTTTAAAAATCACTCCTACCATCCAGAGATGGCCAATGTGGTATATATATCCTTCTCAAAAAAAATGTATGATTTTTAAAAGACAACTGTGAGTTCATAGTGTACTCCTTTATAATTTGCTTTTTCCATTTAACAAAACTCAGACTCCCCATGTCAGTAGACACCGTGCGTGGACACCATTGTCTGTGGTATGACATAGCTCTATACTGTAATTTATTTAAGCAAGCCACTATTAGATTGTCTCCAGTTTCTTACAAAAGTATGATGTAACATTTAACCTTATAGTTAAACCTGTACACACATTCTTAATTATGTCCTTGGCATACATTTTAGAAGTGGAATTGCAAGGTATACACGTTTTCAAGGCTTTGGTGTACTGATACACATTCCTCTAAAACAGCTGTGCTGACTTAGCCTCCTGCAGCCATGTGAGAGAGCACTCAGTTCTCTGAACCCTGCTAACTCTGGGTCCTTATTAAGAATATGTTGTCACTTTAACAGGAAAAAGAACCTCATTGTCTTAATATGCATTTATTTTATTTCTAATGAAATTTTTATATACTTATTGGTCATTTGTATGTTTTGTTTTTTTTTTTGAGAATTCCCAAACTCTTGCTCCTGTAGCCAAAAAATACCAAGTTGTTAATCTGTCTTTTCAGTTTGATTTGAAAGAAATAAAGGCATTTAAACAGTGGAGATTAGGGCTTAGGGGTTAAGTCTCAGCGCTACCACCATTAAGGCCCAAGTTCGATCCCCGCTTAGGGAGCTGAACACATATGGTGCAGCAGACCTCTCCTCTCTCACCCGCTGCTCCCCACTCTGTCTCTGGTGAATCCTCTCACCCCTGCACCTCTGGTCTACACCCCAGTTCTTCTACACACACGCACACACACACAAAAAAAATAGTGAAGATTAGATTCCTATATATCCCTGAGAAGAATATGTAATTTGTTTTTTGGGGTTTTTTTTTTAAGATTATTTATTTTATTTATACGAGCACTGGGTACAGTCAGAAGCGTGGGAGGGTGAGAGAATTCACCAGAGCCAGAGCGAGGAACAGAACAGGCAGAAGGACCGAAGTACACTGCTGAGGGGCGCAGTGGGCACTGCAGGAGAGGTCTGTGTGCCATGTGGGACCCTCGCCGGTGGCTGGGGATCGAACTGGTGCTGCAGAGGCTGCGGGCAGCTTTGCAGCCCAGCGCTCAACTGCTATGCCAGCAGGGGAGACCCAGAATATGTAATTTGAAAAAGCAGAGGGTAGCCAAAGCCTGAACCTCAAGTTTTATCTTGAAGTTGTCAACTAATTAACCAATTAATGGACTGCTCTGAAATGAGGATGGCGTGTCTTTGTTCCCCTCACACATAACAGGCGTTCAGTAAAGACCTGTGAGTCAGTTAACTGACTTGCCATGGGTGAATAGAGGGAACTGAGGCTTGCCGTTCTGACTACAAACCTGCCGTTCCTGCTGGGGACAGCAGCTGATCTTTCCAAAGCCTACTCATTTCTACAGAATTCTTTTCAAACACAGGATCACAAATGGGCAATGGTGTACTCACATTTTACATAGTGCTACCATGCCATGCGTGAGGCTACACAGGCTAACCCTGACACAACTAATGAGAACTTCTGCTCCTGGTAATGGTAGGTAGGTAATTTGGACTAAACTTCCCATGGAGGGGAGCTAGAAAGATGGAACAAAATATCCTTAAAATCCAAAGGCATCCCAGAGCTCACGTGAGTTGGAAGAATTACTGTGCCACACCACTGGAAGATGGAGGTCCTGAGGGAAGGGTTGTGTTACCTGCCACTGCTTTCCTTGGGGGCATTTGCCACACTTGCAGGAGACCATTGAGAAGGAGGCTGATCAGTGACAGGCTTCCTGGAGTAGGGGACAGGGCCTGTGAATGGGTGGAAACCTGGTGAATGTCCCTCATGTTGAAATGAGGTGCTCAGCCCTTTACAGCACAGAAATAAGGCCTAACCAGAAGTGGGAAAGGGTTTCTCAGGGGACTGCAGCTCAACTTTCAATTATCTCAGTCCTTGAAGTTAAATTTAGGTGATCCCAAAGTGGCAATTTTCCCAAATCTTTGGCATAAGCAAATAAAAACCCTCTCTAGAGGAATTTAAAATAAACTAAGTGCTGTATCATTTTAATGGAACTAATTTAAAGTAGTTCATGAAAATGTTTTAAAGTGGAGTTAGGGATTAGAATGACATCTCTGATGCAGAAATAGTGGGTTAAAAATTAGAGTGGGGGGGCCTCCCCCGTGGCGCAGCGGTTGAGCACTGGGTTGTGAAGCTACCTGCAGCCTCTGCAGCGCAGGTTCGATCCCCAGCTGCTCCCCGGCCACCAGAGGAGGGTCCTACTTGGCGCGCAGACCTCTCCTGCCGCCCGCTGCTCCCCTCAGCAGTGTACTTCGGTCCTTCTGCCTGCTCTGCTCCCCCTCTGGCTCTGGTGAATTCTCTCACCTTCCCACCCTTCTGATTGTACCCAGTGCTTGTATAAATAAATAAATAAAAACAAATCTTTAAAAAAAAATTAGAGTTACGGGTACTGCACTTCTTTCCAATGCCTTTTGATAAGACGAGAATGGTGCAGGGTCATGCAGAAAATAGGTGAGCATGGTGCCTCCCTGGTGGTGCAGGGGGTTAAGACGCAACCTATGAAGCTATCCGCAGCCACTGTAGCATGAGTTTGATCCCCGGCCATGGAGCTACCCACATGGCGCAGCAGACCTCTCCTGACTCGCCCGCTGCTCCCCTCAGCAGTGTATTTCAGTCAGTCTGCCTGTTCTGCTCCCCACTCTGTCTCTGGTGAATCCTCTCACCCCCCCACCACCACCTCTGGCCTGTACCCCAGTTCTTATATGCATAAATAAATATTTAGAAAAAAAAAGAAAGAAAATAGGTGAGCATGGCCATGACTGGCTAAATCTTTGGATTTAAGGAAATAAGGGTGTTCACTGGTGCCAACCCTGTGACCAAGGTTTCCTTGTGTTTGGAGAATTAAGTTTCTGGAATGTATGCATGAATGTCAGAATTTAGGGGTAATGTCCGTCAAATTCACTTCTAGTCAATTGAGACTTAAATGCATTTTGCCCCTTTAAGCAACCATGTTATACAATAGTTTGTAACCTGTAACACAAAATGTGTTCCCAAAGCAAAGGTTAATGGTTCCAATTTTGGATGCCAGCAACAAGTCCTTTGCTATAGTTGAAACAGAATCCGTCCCAAATCCAAACTGGTAACCACAGAGTCTATTTCATATTGGGGCTAAGATGAACCATATCTGACCTGGAAGAACTAGTAAGAAAGTAGAATGTGGGCACTGAGGGGCCCAAGAGGTAATGGGAGAGTGATCGACTCCCATGGGTTTTTCTATTTTCCTGTCTTCCCTTGTCCTGAATAGGTTCTGGTATGAGAATTGAGTGGTATGGGAATTGGGTGAAAATGTGGGGATCCATACCTCCGCTGTCCTAGGGGAGGTAAATTTCAAGGTAAGACAGTAGGGAAAGTGAACCATGGAGACCCCCCAGCTTGGGCTGACCAGTGTAGGTGACCACCGTGTAACAAGTCA